AGCTTCTCTGGACGGAGTCTTGACCAGGGGCAAGGTATTGCGTGCAGTCCATCCTAACAAGCTTTCTTTTTAAGTGTTTCTCTTCATGGAAAAATTTAAGTAAAACCTCGCTCACGTCTGCACCTAAAGGTTATTATATCGTCTGTTCAATGTACATTACATCAGAACAACAATTTACACTTTATCGGTTATAAAAAGCGACAGCTAGTATTAACTTCGGCATGGCAAAGCCGCACCAATGACTTATAAATGAAGAGATAATGCAAATTACATTTTTTGGGTCATCTTTTTTGGCTTTTAAAGGCCTCTCATTATCAGCTATTTCTATCAGTGAAGATCCGACGTATGATTGAGAACACACGGGCTCAGGCTACCAGTCGCTCCTGATGGCTAGTAGAAGAAATCTAAGTGTCGCCGCCATTGCCCGAACCGGAGCGGTGACTGTCTCTAATTCCTTATGGAAGTATAAATTGTCTTAATAGTCTCGCTCTGCATGTCTTCTCTGCTGCCTCTGCACTGAGCCGTCGCATCGGTGTAAACGCGTTTTTTATTCGAGATGTTGTAGACACTTTGGGGGGGTGGGGGCGGCAGGGGGGGGGGGGTGGGAGGGGGGGGGGGGGGGCCGAGATGTAGCACAATTAGCTGCTTAGTAGCCCAATGAGTGACGCATTACGGGCTTCATAGGTCATAGGCACCGTCGCAACAAGGCTGTACATGGTAAACTACGCTTGTTTGAATGTGTGAGGATATATAAGCCTATAGCTAGCAGATCACGTAAAGTGTGATACAAATATTAAATGACTCAGGAGAAAGAAAGAGAGCAGTAGAGAGCTCGGCGATGTATAGATGAGAAGAAAAGGAGAGAAGAGAGGACTGAATGATATTAGCAGGCGTATGAACCATAATTATTATAATATTCCGGGTACTTTTTAAGCTAAGATGTTATTCGCTCGCTTTACTAGGTTGTAAAAAGCAAAAACTGCATAGCATATTGCAGCGTTCCAAATATAATTCACGGACGTTATTTGCCGCAAATATTACACGCACATATTCGTCCTGCAAGTGAAAAGTATAACGTCTGGGTTTACTCTAGTAGCGTTTTAAGTCGAAATTTTGAGACCACCAAAATACAAAATTTAAAATTACGTGAGATTTTTACGTTCGGATACTACGATCGTTTACGCGACGGCTAAACAGGCCAAATCAATTTAGGCGACATATATAAGGTGTATTAATTCGCCGAAACACTCGTCATTTTAAGCAGATACTGTGAGGCATATCAAACGCCGTCGAATATGGACACCGCCTGCTCACAATTAAAAATATTCTAGAATTTTATATGTTGGGTTGCTCTCAGGTTAAAATACGTCGCGCATGCGCAGTGAAGCCACTAAATAACTGATATCAGATTCACAAACTTATTGACAATGGAGGCGGGGGTACCCGTGGTAGATAAATGGAATGAAAAGCTATTGTAAGGCTCTTGATAAAAGATATTACAACGCCCTAGCTTGCAGGTACCGCACATAGTGTTTTGAGAATCTCTCTAGCTACATTCTTACGTGTATATATTCGCCCGAAAGAACTCGTCATTTTAAGCAGATACTGGGAAATATGCAACCCAGGAATATCACTGCCGCCCACATTCAAATACCCTATAATTTTATTATTGTTCTCCACCTAAAATCGGCCGCGATGCGCAGTAACTACACTAAAATAAACAGAATATTTGGATTGCCACCCAAACGTATTTAAAATGGAGGCGGAGAGTTACCTCGTGTGAAAGATAATGGATAAATTAGTTGTATTGCTAAGGCTCTGTTAAAAGATGCACAACGCCCTAGGCTTGCAGTGTAACCTCCGACATAGTGTTCTGGCAGGAATTCTCTCAGATACATTTTAGCGTGGTACATTAAAATAAGAAATTATATTCGCCGAAGCAAACTCGTCATTTTAACAGATATCTGGGGCATATGCACCCACAGGATATCACCGCTGCCACATTTAGAAATATTCTAGAATTTTCCTATTTGTTCTTGCAGCTCTAAAAATGCGAGTCCGCGCATGCGCAGAGCTAACTCAGCTGAATAACTGATATTTCAATTCACAAAGTATTTTAAAATTGAGCGGGTACCCGTAAATGATCAGATTTATGGGATAAAAGTTTATGGCTATGCTTTGTAAAAGATGGACAACGCCGCTAGCTTGGCACGGGTATCGCGGACCATAGTGTTTCTGCAGAAATTCTCTCAGAGACATATTACGTGTATATGATGCCGAACCAAACTCGTCATTTTAAAGCAGATTACTGGGGCGCATATGCACGCCGGCAAGGATATCACTGCCTGCCACATTAGAAAATATTCTACAATTTTCTATTTGTTCCTCATGCTAAAATGCGAGTTCGCGCATGCGCAGTAACTTACTGAATAACTGATATTTTGATTCACAAACGTATTTAAAATGGAGTGGGGGTACCCGTGTGTAGATTTATGGGATAAAAGTCTATTGCTATATAAAAACCAGTATACCCGCTCACCACCACCATCGTCATGGCGCACACACCCTAAGTGTTGTATTGTGATTGGTTGAATATCTCCAAATAGACTAATGAGAAAACAGAACAGGTTTTATTTCACCAACTTGTCCAGGTATATATTTTTACGTCATAGGTTTTTGACTAAAAATTAGTAGTGTCCAGCCGATGCTGCTAATATGTCTTTCGTTTTTTATACGAAAATGGTTTCGTTACACTAATTTCTTCAAACTGTCACCAAATTGCTGATAAAATATTTAGTGTAGCTCGTTATACGAATGTTATATACAACGTGATTGGCCCTATATTATTATATACTCACCAACTGCCATTATCACACATTGCGCCATGAATTAGCATGTAACTCATGTTCACGTTGTAATTAGAAAGAAGAGTAGCTAGACACTCGCCTCACATATTAGAGAATTATATATGAGATGATTTCATGCTCTAGCCGCAAGCGCGAAACGGAGAGAGCAATAAATTGCTAGTGCCCTAGGCGTAGGCGGGTGACTGATAGTTAGCGTATATATTGTATTATAGATGTATTATATTGTATATTTTTATATAGTATATATTGAGTAGAGCATTAAACGTCTACATGACTGGTTGCCGGGGAAAGGCGCAGCAATGCGAAACGAGAACGAAATAAATAGGATTGAATAATGCACCCACGGCATACTGGGGCAAATTTGCTTATAATAATTTAGGATATGTTTTGTTTCTGCACAGGTTTCGCCAATCAGACCGTCTGGTTTTCCATCTGGACTTATGCTTCACCGGATGGTCCCCATAGCTCTCCGTCTAACTTGGCATCAGCTACATTAAAGAACCTCGGAGAAGAGGATAAAAATGAAAAGTCATATTTAGTTCCTATTTTAATAGCCGCTGGTGTGCTTGTCCTGATAGTGGTCGGATTAGTTTGTTTTTGTTTGAATAGACGGAAATTAGGTCAAGGCGACTACAGCCCACCACCGCAGGCTGTGTAAATGTTTCAAGTCTGAATAGCTATTGCTGTGGTATTACGAATACACGTAGAGCGACATCTCGTTGGGATAATGTGGTTTGATGAGGATAATCATATTAATCTATATATTGATCGTGTATAAACTAAGAATAACATCCATTCTGAAATAAATAACAACGATTATGACAATAGATAGAGTGCATGCAGGCTGCTATTCGTCATCATCAGAGCCTAACTGTAATTTTCTCTTGGTGCTTGGTACTGTTGCTTCGTGTCTTGGCTTTGCACTTTGACTTTCTAGTCACTTTACCAGAAATACAAATCCGATTGTATAGATATTTATTACAAGGTTGCAAAGGAATTTTAACGTTTTCAAATATTGTAGGTGTATATATACGAATTCGTGATCTGTAATTGACTTGCTGTATCGTCTTGGGACCCTTACAGTGTATTAATATGTATGTAGTATGTTAGTTGAATCATGTATCATAAATGGTTAACTCTAAAAACCTGTAACAACTAATCTGTAAAAACTGTAAATATCTTATATAAAAAACATATGCATACAGGTAGCTGATTTCATTTGGTGCGACGCGAGTGCGATTTTGCAAAAAAGGTGTCAAGGTTTCTTTTATATTATATATATATATATATTGCATTAGAGAACATGTGACGATGTTTAGTAAACTATACTATTCTTCATTTCCTACATTTGCTTTCTGATAACAGCGGACAACGCGTGTTCTGCTCATCAACCATCACGTAACCACTAATCATCATCATCGAGCTCTCACCGCTTAATTGTACTTATTTAGCTTACTGGGCTATGATATGTGTACGATTGTAATTACATGGGGGCTTATGAACTCACGGGTCTACTCGCAACGTAATAATAAAACTGACATACCTGTTGAGAATATCCGTCTCTTGTATACAGGAAATACATCATGGCCTGATGTCCGTTTTAGGAAATAGCAACTGTAATTTATTATAAAAATGTCATGAGCATGTGTGTGCGCGCATGCGCGCGTGCGTACGTGCGTGGTGCGAGTGTATTACAAATAATGGCATTTAAAGATGAGGGCTTAAAGACAAGACCGTATAGATTATACAGGAATGAACATTTTATACATTGACAATACACATTTTCTCTGCACAAGGTTAAGTGATTTTAACATGAGTGCATTTATAAAGTTATAGAGTACCGATGTGTGACGTCACGTTGGCAAGGCAACGTACGGGCTGGTTCTACACAATCCACTGGCTCCATAACATTAACTGCGTGAAA